AAGGTAAACTCGGACAGTCTGCCTCAAAGAGAGGAGATACAAAATCTTCCTGCAATGTATTTACAGGTCATAGGTTTAACATTATGTCACAGAGCCAAAGAGCTCATGTAAACTCTCCATTCGTGCTGCATCATGAAAGAGAAAGACCACAGTATGACAAAAAAAGAAGTAATTTACCACCTTACTCGATTATTATTTTCATTATGCTAAATGATCAGAACCATCATCAAATCAACAGACAATCTTAGGGTTCTGAAGGAGGCGTGACCTCTGAAACGCATAAACCACTAACTACCAGGGAGGACGAACAGCCGGAGGATAAGCACCTCTAGTTCTGACCCTTACATGCCTGTTTTTACTCGACTTTTGTGAGTACCATTACATCAGTTTTTATCTGTTTATTAAAAAGTTTTTACGCGATGGAGGCGCTCTCTGTGTCTTGTCTATCATCAAATCATTTTAATGTATAAAGTACTCTTTTCTTCTCAGGATATCCTATCAGTATATCTAGTATGCTGAATTAGCAAATGTCTGAACTTGTTTTTCCTCCTTTAACTACTTGAGGACCTGTGTATGTATGTATGTATGTGTGTGTATATATACACACACACATACATACATACATATTTCCTGGTGCATCATGGCAGCACACAACGGGTTAATGCTCCGCCCCTTAACCACATAGGACAAGCCCATTATAAGTTTTGGCTCCCCACAGCCTTCTTTTTTCTGTCCTCGCCATGGACGAGCCTACTAACTTTTTCCTGTTACCCTTTAGATTTTTTTCCCTTACCTGGCCGTTCTGCAGCTTCCCACACAGGGTCATGTCTGCCCTGCTGTGACGCCTCTGCCTTTTAACAAGGTATACAAGCGGGGGGACACGCTCTGCAGCCCGGGTCTGGCATTTGAAGGCTCCATTGAGCCTAGCTCCTATCGTCTCGGCAGCCGGACTTGGCCTCTCTCCTATCCCTTCTGTCTTCCACTGTCTTCCACTACTGTGCTCCAGCCGCGTCATCGCGGTCTTTGGCAAAATGGCGGCGGCCATTCTGTGCATGAGCGGACCGCCGCGGCGACGGGCTTCAGGAAAATGGAGGCTCGGGCGCATGCGCAGACGCTCACTATTTAAATGGCGGAGGCGGGAGAGTCTCTCTCTGTCCCACTACAGCCAGGTGAAACGCAGCCTCTCTGGGCCCAGTACAGGTAAAATCAGTATATGTTTCTCTCCTTACTCTCCTACTCTTTGCTTTGTCTTATCTTCCTTTCTGCTTCACAGACCATGTCCGATGACGCTGCCTCACAAGGTGCTGCATCCTCAAAGAGGTAAAGCCGGGTGTGTTTCTTGCTATTTACTTAGAGAGACAGTGAGGGGTTGCTTATACAACGTTATATTTTGCAGCCCTCCTCACGAACATCGCACCCACTCGAGACGGCGATCTCCGTAGCCTCAGATCCATCACAGACGGGATACCAGCTCCCAGCCTGTCCGCCGTACGAGGTCAGCAAGAGTCCTGACCATAACAACTGCTGGGCATGTGGCAACCCGGCCCTGAAGGATAAATTGGTGTGTCGAGCCTGTCTGATGGAGGCTACCCATGACCAGGGGCCTCCGGTGCTGGATGTGGTTTCACTGATCAAACAGTCGGTGAGAGAGCTTCCAAGAGCTCACAGGATCTTACTCTACGCAACCTTCCACATCACAGTCCTTGAATGCTCCGGACTCCATTTCTAGTGACCCCGACGATACGGACACTAGGGATCTGGCAATTCCCTCGGGATTTGATTTCTCCTTGATCAATCCCTTCATTACGGCAATCAATTGGGAGGAAGATGTCCAACAGCCCGCTAAGGCTAGGAAATACTTCCCTCATCTTAGAAAGGAGAGGAATACATTCCCTTATATGATCAAGATAAAAGAGCTCATAATGCAAGAGTGGTGCAAGGTAGAGAAGAAGCCATGCCTCAATAATAGGCTGGCCAAGTTGAACCCGTTTAAAGACACGTGACCTTGCCCATGGACAACGCAGTCTCCTTCAAAGATCCTTTGGATAGGAAAGCAGATTTGGATATTAGTAGAACGTATACAGCCGCAGGCAATGCCTGTCATCCAGCCATCACACTCACGGCAGTATCTCGTGCTATTCCAATGTGGATCCAGAAAATCGATCACGCTCTTAGGACAGACGTCGACAAGGATAAGATCATAGACGCTCTTCAGGACTTGCGCCTGGCAGGCGACTTAGTCGGAGAGGCGGCCATGGACACCATTAGGTGCTAGGCCCAAACCATGTTGGACATGGTCACCGCCAAGAGGGCCATGTGGCTCAGACCCTGGTCTGCTGATGCGTCCTCTAAGTCCAACTGGTGTCACATCCCATACGACGGCTAAAACCTGTTTGGCGGGAAGATGGAGACCGCAATCACCAAGTTTTCCGGCGGGAAATGTGGTCTACTCCCCCAGGACAGGAAATTCAGGAAAGGCTACCGATCAATCATCAAAAGACCGCAGCCAGAGAGCGTGAAAGACTCCCGCTCCTACAGGCCTGGACGAGAATTCTGTTGCACCTGGAAAGGAGCTCAGTCTTCCACGCTGAAGTTTCCCAAGCAACCAACAGCAATAAGTGCGCAGGACTCTAAGAAGCCGTTTTGACGGTACAGGCGGCCACTCTTGTCCAGTGGGTGGCCGTCAGCTATTGTTAGCGGAGCCATGGACCGCAGCCACCAGAGACGACTGGGTGCAGGCTACCATATCTCAAGGTCATCAGTGGAGGTTCAAAAAACATCCCCCCCCCCCCACGCCAGGTTCGTAGAGACCAGGCTCCCCACTTCCACACCCTGTGCCCAAGTTCTAATCGAATACGTCAAAAGCCTACTTCAAAAGGGTACAATCTGTCCGGTTCCGCCGCCCGAGCGATTCTCTGGATTCTACTCGCCTCTATTTCTAGTGAAAAAGAAGACGGGGGACCCAAGACCAGTCCTGGATTTGAAGGACTTGAACACCAACATTCGGGTTCCTACCTTCCGAATGGAGGCTCTACAAACCATTCTCCCATTGATCCGGCTCCAGGATTGGATGGCTTCGGTGGACTTCCTGGATGCCTACTTTCATATTCCCATACACAGGAAGTTCAAAGGATTTCTAAGGTTCGCAATCCTGGGGTACCATTTCCAATTCCGGTGCCTCCTATTGGGAATATCAACAGCCCCGAGAACATTCTCGAAAATCATCCTCTCTTGTGGCGCACATGAGGTGGCAAGGGCTAAGGCTAAACCCCTACCTAGACGACTTTCTCCTACTGGCGCAGGACCACCAGGTCCTCATTCAGCACGTGGGGATCTTGATATCGACCCTGCAAACCTTTGGCTGGCTGATCAACTTCGAGAAGTCCAGCCTGGTCCCGGCACAGCGTTTGATCTTTCTGGGGGCCCTACTGGACACCCAGAACAACACTGTCTTCCATAGGAAAAGATCGACAGGATCCTCGCCAGAGTGAGGTGGGCGCTGGCAGTTCGGTTTCTTTCAGCACGCCAATGTCTATCCATTTTGTGACTTCTTTCCTCCACGATCCCTATGGTGAGATGGGCACATTGGAGGCTACGCCACTTCCAGTCCGGGTTCCTGTGGCAATGGAACAGAGCGGATCTCATGCAGAGGATTTTTCTCTCCCTAAAGATGAAGACTTCTGTGTGGTGGTGGACCAGCCGAAAACACCTCACCCAACACCATTGTGGTGACTTCAGACGCCAGCAAAGTGGGATGGGGTGCACATTGCCAGGGTCTGGTAGCCCAATGCAACTAGAACTTCTGCTCGGAATCAGTCACCTCAAGCGTCCTGGAGATCCGGACAGCATTCAAAGCCCTACAGGCTTTTGCTCACCTGCTGCACAGTCGGACGGTCCATTTATTAGCGGACAACATATCAGCGGTGGTCTACATACAGAGGCAAGGGGGGACATGCAGCAGAACCCTGCTCAAAAAAGTGGAGTCGGTATTGTCCTGGGCTCAATCCCACCTAAGGGACCTCAAGGCCACATATCTGCCCGGGGATCAGAATGTCCTGGCAGACTACTTGAGTCGCCATCCTATCCGCAACAACGAATGGGAACTGAATTGGGAGGTCTTTCAGGACATCACCAGCCGCTGGGGTACACCAGACATCGACTTGATGGCTACACAAGAGAACAGGAAGTGGTCGCGATTCCTGTCTAGGTTTCCCACTCCACAGGCATTCGGTACCGATGCCCTGACCTTCCCGTGCGATTTTACCATCGGCTACGTCTTTCCTCCGTACCCCAATAGGGAGGTTGCTGCACAGGGTATCAGTTTCCGGGCATCATAATAGCAATCATACCATACTGGCCTGGGCGGCCATGGTTCTCCCTACTCAGTCACCTGAGCGTTCAACCTCCTATCCTCCTGCCTCCACGCCAGGACTTTCTGGTCCAGGGCCCGTTCCTACATCTAACACCAGAGAGGCTTCATCTGATGGCCTGGAAATTGAGCGTCGCAGTCTATCGCACCTAGGCTGCTCCTCCTCGGTCATATCTACCCTATTGAAAGCTAGGAAAGCGTCCACCAATGACACATACCGGGATATCTGGACCAGGTTTATCTATGCAGCAGAGAAGGGGGGTTTTGACCCAGAAACCCCCTCAGTCTCCAACGTACTCAACTTCTTGCAAAACGGCCTGGACTTAGGACTCAGCTGGAACAAGCTCAGAGTACATGTCTCTGCAGTCTCTGCTTTAACAAACACCAGATGGGCACTCAATCCGCTAATCATGCGCTTTTTGAAGGCATGTTTCAAGCTTCAACCTCCAAGGAAGATTCTTTTCCCTCAATGGGATCTCTCTTTAGTCATTTCAGCCCTGTCAGCTGCACCTTTCCATCCTAATGCTACTTCCACTGTGTGGAATTTGACCCTAAAAACCATTTTTCTGGTTGCCATCACATCAGCAAAACGCATGTCAGGAACTACAGGCGTTATCCTACAAGGATCCCTACTGTGTTTTTTTCCAGGACAGAGTTGTACTCAGGCCTTCTCCGAACTTCTTGCCGAAGGTGTCAACTCCCTTTCACATAGACCAAGAGCTGGTGCTTCCCTTCTTCCAGGACGAAGAAGGCAACCCACACGCGCTTGAGCTAAAGGACGCTCTTAGCTCCTACATCTCAGCCACTACTCCCTTCAGAAAGCAAGACTGTCTCTTCATCGTTCCTAAGGGCATTAGGAGAGGTCAAGCAGCCTCTGCAAAAACCATAGCCTCTAACCTGGTTAAGGCCATCCAGAAAGCTTACTCGCTGAGAGGCCTTCCGATCCCAGCAAAAATCCGGGCTCACTTGACTAGGGGTGTCGCAGCATCTTGGGCAGCTTTTTCCAGGGTCTCTGCAGAAACCGTATGCAAGGCAGCTACATGGTCCTCCAGTCACACCTTTATGAACCACTACCGAATTGACCCTTCTCAGCTGACGACCTTGGCCTTTGGCAGAGCCATAATCTCTTCTAGCACTGGTATTTAAGAATTTTGTATACCTTTTATATAATATTAATAATTTATATTGAGCATCCCACCCTGTTGATCATTATTTCCCATTGTGTGCTGCCATGATGCGCCAGGAAAACGGACGATTGTATACTTACCTTCGGTAATCGTCCTTTCCTGGTGCATCTTCATGGCAGCACACCTCTTCCCACCCTTCCATGGCTCGTGATTGTTACGTGAATGCCGTGGGCAGTGGGGAGCCAAGACTTATAATGGGCTTGTCCTATGGGGTTAAGGGGCAGAGCATTAACCCGTTGTGTGCTGCCATGAAGATGCACCAGGAAAGGAAGATTACCGAAGGTAAGTATACAATCTTCCGTTATATACAGGCAGTCCCTGGGTTACATACAAGATAGGGACTTTAGGTTTGTACTTAAGTTGAATTTGTATGCAAGTCGGAACAGGTAAGTTTTTTAAGTGCAACTCCAGCCAAAAAAATTTACAATATCCAATAGCAGGCTGGGTATGGCTCCCAGC